TATATATATTTTAACACAGCGTAATAAATGATGCTAAATATTAATGGTATAACACTTATTACAAAAAACGTATTTATTCTATTCTTTGCTGGTAGACATGACTTCATCATTCTAGCATAGCTGCAATTTGGACTAAATTTCAAGTGATCGAGAATTGGTACATCATCTGATTTCCATTTGTAAACCTCAATATCACATTTAAAACATCTAACTACATCTTCTTTGCCCATGTAGTGGAATCCAGCTAATGCTAAATCTATTGGAGATACATCACCAGTCCAATTTTCATAAGACTCTAATCTATGATCAAACAATTGCAATAGGTGTGAGTAATCATCGGCGCACATGTTGGTTCTGATAAGCAAACCCAATGTTAGGTGTATTTATAAATAAAACATTTTAGAATTTTTCAAATTTATTCCATTATAAAACTTTCATATAAAAAAAAAACATTTGATACAGCACAAATACAATTAATATTATTATGATAAAAACATTTGGGCTTCATTGGTTGAAGTGCTGGTTGCTCATCAAACTCATAAACTGGAACTAGGGAATATTTTTTTATATAATTTGCTTTCTCCATACCCTTGACGTAAACCATATCAACTCCTTTTGTTAAAGATTGTAAGATATTTCCAAATTGGTGTACAGGAGTAAAACCTTCCTCCCAATTAATATAATGATGATTTTTCATTAACCATAAAGCCTGCCTATGTAAATCTGGAGAGAGCATTCTAAGAGGAAAGGGTGGTTTGAATACATAATGACTTATGCGAAAACCATCATAAGCAGCAAATTCTTTTACAATAAATTTATTATTTTCTAGCTTAAATCCTTGTACATCCACAACGAGTCTCATATTTTTAGTTTTTCAAGTAGTTTTACAAATTCGTACAATTCAATATCTTTTTTTAGTTTTCCGAATTCGTACAATTCAATATCTCTTTTAAGTTTTAGCAGTTTTTTAAATAAATTTGAAGTTTCTCTTCATACTCGGACATATTAAATGAAATTATTAACTATGAAGGATGTGTTTTATATTAAGTTTGAGACATGCGCATTAATATTGCTTTACGGTTTTTGTTAAAGGATTATATGAAAATTCTTTTTCGTGTAATATGAGACAAAACGCTGATATATCCGTTGACGTGGGCTCATCAGTTTCAAATTCAATTCTAAGAACAATGCTTCCGGATTGAATCACTTCTTTTTGTCTTGAACAATCGATATGTACTAAGGGTGCTTTTTCTTTAAACTCTTGTGGATTAAATATTGGTTGATTTAAATTAAAGTGATAATAACTTTCCTGAAAGTTTGCAAACATATCATATAATGTGGCATATTTATTATTGGTAAAATCTAAATTTAAATCGTGGTATGGATATCTATCCGAATTTAGAAATACTCGGATGTTGTTGAGTTTACAATGATCAAATTTACTCATATCCTGTTTAATTTGACCTTTTTTATTTTTTTGAAATCCAATAATTATATGCCTAGGAGTTTCTATTTTTGTACTTGTTTTAACAGCCCAAGTATGTCTAGTGGAATTATTAAGTGAAGCATATTCAATCATTTGCCAAGAACGGAATTTAATTGGTAATTCTTTATTACTCTGAACAATTTTATTTAGTCGAAGTTGTTGACTAATACTAGGGGTGACATGTGGTACGTGCCAGGAGAGTGCACGAAGTTCGATATTTGGTTTTTCAGAATCATCAGAACTTATTATGGCATCAATATCATCACTGGAACGAATTAATACTAATTCTTGTTTCATATTCATAATTATTTTACCAAAATCTTCAAAGAAACCTGATAACATTTTTAAGGGAATGCAAACATTAAAGTTTCCATCTTTATCAACTAAAATTTTTTCTGTCTCTACTGTTACAACACCTTTAGAATCTGTCGCAAGTTTTTTAATTTCCTTAGGGAACCACCCAGCATTTTGCATTAGTACACTTTCGTTTTCATTAAGACTCAAATAATTTTTCATGGTCGATACAAGACCTACATCTCTTACAGAATCTATTACGACACTGTTTAGCTCATAACGGAGTTCACGAAACAAAAATGCTATGGCATTGTTAATAAATTGTAGTTTAGTTGGTACTTTTCCAGCATCAGTAAGCAACTTTCCTTCAATATACAAATAACTTTTTGATGGCAATGTGTAAGCATCTAAATCTTGAATGGGGATTCGAATTTCATCGTTATAATTGAGTTTTCCAGTAATGAAGGGTTGATAGGTATGAAATTGATAATCATCTATAGTTGTATCATTAAAAGGTTGCCCGGTTACATGAAGTACTTCCATTATATTAATACTTTAAATCCTAACGAAGTTAAAAAAATTTTATTAATGGGTGTTATTATTGCAAAGGGTTTTGCAAAACTGATTTGTCTGTTCTGGAGGGACAATCTTTTATAGTTTTTAAGTGGATGAAAAAATGATAGAACCATTTTATACTTTTCTAATGTGAAGGGTAACCGTAATCTCTTCTTCTCGAAAATTTATGAGACCACCGCTCTGGTCAATAATCTTTACTGTAATGTTGTTGATTGTCTTGACACTGACAGGATAATACAAGATATTTTGAGGAGATTCCACTATTTTATACCCGCTGGGTACTGTCGGAAAAAATTGGTGGATAATATGAACAGGGTTCCCATTTAAATAGGAACCAGCCGCAATACTACAGTCAATACCTATAGAATTTACTTTCAAAATTTTAACTGGATGATTTGATGAATAAGTTTTACCAGGATCAAGCCTTTGGACATCAAAACCAAACACTTGTGCGATTGAATTTGCATTATTAAAAGAAATAATACGATTACTTGAAATAGAAATTTTTGAAGTATTTATGTCCGGTATTATATCTATTTTAGCATTTTTATCTTTATCATTCATATGTTTCTTTAAAACACTTATAAGATCATCTAACTCATAAGCACCAACCGGTACTTTAAATTCATTTAGCTTATTTTTATCACCCCATACAAATAAATTATTGCTTTCATCAATATTTGGAATTGTGTTAAAACTATTGAAACTGACTAATCCTATTTCATAATCTGTATTTTCATCTAAATATATTGGAGGGTTAAAATCATAACTTAAAATTGAAGAGTTACCACTTAAAGTAAATGAAAAAGACATATTTACACAACAAAGAAATGTCTCAGAATGAAAACTTTTTTCAATTATATTGATTATATAGAAAACTCAAACAATAATGGCCGCACTTGTAAGAATTTCTTTGAACTCTATCATAGTTATAAATTATATTTACATCCCCATTGCTATTGAAATATTTAATCAGCTCTAATGGTGGGGCTAAGTTTCCATAACTATCAAAGTATACAACATCCTTATTTTGTTTCGTATATGCGGTCCAATGTGTCCCAGGTCCTATATTTGAATCCATATTTATAATACCGCTCTCTTTTTTATGGATTGTACGAGGTAAAGAATCTCTCATAAACACTCCTCTAAAATGAGGAATCTGCAATATTTTAGCAAATTTTTTTAAATCTAAATCGGTAAGCGCTCGTTGTGGTAGTATTAGTTTTTTGACATGATACCATATCCTTTATATGGTCTTAAATATAAACCCTTCCCCTTTTTTTTACGACTTAAACCCTGGCCTTTCTTTTCCATAGCTAAATTATGCCGTTTCTGTTCTTCCAGTTGTATGCGGTTAGCTTTAGCATCGTTTACTGCTTTTGCAATACCAGCACCCATACCTCCGACAGCTCCTAAAGCTGATAAAAGAGGAAGTAGTAAAGGTAAAAATCCACCTATTTTCGGTACTCGAATAATTCTCTTTTTAGTTTTTCTTGCTCGTTTTTTTATACCCATTCCAAGTTTGCGTTTACCTTTCATCGCCGTTGTTACAAACCAAGCCGCTGTTTTTTCTCCTAATTTAGCGTCTTTCGAATTAGCCCTCTCCCAAGCTCTATGTTGTAATATCTTATCGGCTTGGTGTCTAGTAATGAGATCTTTACTTTGTGAATATGCAATATCGTGATCTTTGCAAGCAGCGTCTAATTGGTTTATGCCTTTATCACCTCTTTGTAATCTCTTATCAAGTTGAGTCCCAGGACCACAGTAGGAATACCCAGGAATATGTAATTCAATTGGTAGTTTGTTTATCAAAGAATTTACTATTCCTCTTCCTCTTCGAAGTGAACTCTGTCGCTGGCGTTTAACCATTGTGCTATTTATATACTTACTCCCCACTATATATACTCTCAGTCTTCTGCAGGATTCATTAAAATGAAGATTGAAAAACAGCACATGATCTTACCAGTAACAAATCATGATTTACTTGTAAATGATGAAAAACTTAATAAACATGGTTTTTTGTTTGGTGGTGACTCTAAAAGATGTTTAATTGTTGGGCCAAGCGGAAGTGGAAAGACAAACTGTATGCTCTCGTTAATTGAACACCCAAATGGATTAAGATTTGAAAATGTATATGTGTATTCTAAAAGTCTTCATCAACCCAAATATAGATATTTACGTGCTTTGCTGGAACCTATTCGAGAAATTGGATATGAAGAATATAGTGAACCTGAAGATATAATTAGACCAGAAGAAATTAAAGAAAATTCGTTAATTATATTTGATGATGTAGCTTCTTGTGATCAAAAGATAATTCAAAATTATTTTTGTTTTGGTCGACATAAACACACAGATTGTTTTTATATATGTCAGACATATAGTGCAATCCCCAAACAGCTTATTAGAGATAATTCGAATCTTTTAGTAATTTTTCAACAAGATATGACTAATTTAAAACATATTTACGATGATCATGTTAATATCGATATGTCTTTTAAAGATTTTATAAACATGTGCACAATTTGTTGGAAAAAAAAATATGATTTCCTCACTATTGATAAGGATTCAAAATGTAAATTTAGAAAAAATTTCGACACTTTTATAAGTATATAAAGAAATTTATTAATCAAACAATTTAGTCAAAATGAATCCTCGGCTGACTAAACAACTAATAAAAGCTAGGCAAGATTTGAAAAAAAAATACAAAAGTTTAAAAAGTGATATAACAAAATCACAAACTCATTTGGAAAAAACATATCAACCAATAACAGACCCCCTTAAACAACTGGTTTCAGTTTTGGGGAAACAAGAAATAATTAAACAAGAAAATTTAACACCGAAATCAGAAAAGTTCAGTTTCTTGCGTAAACCTCCGCGAAAAGATTATACTAAAATAGCATATTCTTCTTTTCCATCACCATTAAGTCAAACAATTAAACATGCTCCAGAACATGAAAGTACTCGTTTAAATGAATCAGAGATTTATGAAAATCAGCCAGACCAAACGTTTGAATATCAGCCAAGAACCAGTGATGAGCAAGTTGATGAATATATAGAAGATACAATTAAAAGTCTACATGATTTAACTACAAACCCACCTCCTTCATTCGTTGAATATCTGGATCAATTTACAGCACCATTACCTAGAGATTATATTCTTAGAAATATATCAGATATTGAAAATAAATTTGATCACGTTTTAGGAATTTATCATGATATAGAAACCGAAAAATTTCGTATTGGAGACTCAGAATTAAACTTTGATGGTTCGGATATTGTAATAAAAGGTATTAAATATCCCGGAACACCTGGACTTTATGAATTACTTTTTTTAAAAGAACCGATTGCATATAAACAAACTGATGTTAATGAATATGTGGATATAATAAAAAGAACCAATGCCGCTAGAAGAAATAATGATCCAGATTTACCAATTAAAAATTTTTCTAGAGATATTAAGGATAAATATAATTTTATTATTAAACCAAAGTTAGAAACAGGACCGTTTAGACGGAGAGTTTCATCAATACCTTCTTCATTAATGAGTGGAATAATGACAAGGAGTAAAAAAATTGGAAAAGGAATGTTACAATATTCAAATAAACCTATTGATTATAAATATTTTGATAATTACAATGAGTTGATTGATCGACTTAGATTACTTGTAGCATCCCAAACTGCAGGAAATACAGGTAATAATAATGAGATTGTGTCAATCATTGAGGAATTGAGAGAAGGGGGTATAATAATGTGAACCCACTAAAGTTTTAATTAGTGTGACAATGCCAATCAACAAATTCGGAGGTCACTTTTTGAGTCATCAAAGCAATGAAACTAATGTTTTAAATTTTACTTCACCATTTTATATTTGTGAGCCAGTTTCATTCCATAGTAAATGTTTTATCAGATTAAGAGGTGTAAAACGAATAAAATATAATAAAGACTTTTATATTTTGGATAATCAAGGTACTGCTTTTGTTTTTCCCTTATCGGGTAAAATTGAAAGTTGTAAACACTATAGTGCTGATGGAGATATTTTACTAAATTCTAAAACATATAAATATCATCAATTAAAAGGAATTAACATTAACAAAGATGATAAAATCGAGTTTAAACTGGGAACACCAGATGAAATGTGTGCTGATTTTGTTTTTCAATGTCCATTAGAAAAAAATGTCTAAGATTCAAGTTGTTAATGAACTACATAAACCAGCTAGAAAAAAATACAAGCGACGACATGTTATTGTTAAAGGGTTGAATGATCTAATCCAAGCTGATTTGGCTGTTATGATTCCTTACTCTAAAGTTAACAAAGGATATAATTATATCTTGGTTGTTATTAATGCATTTAGTAAATTTGTATGGGCTATACCGATTAAGAAAAAAACAGCTAAAGATGTTACTGAAGGTATGGCTCAAATTCTGTCACAGATGACCCCACCTAAAAATTTACAAACTGATAATGGAAAAGAATTCTATAATAAAGATTTTCAAAAACTTATGCAAAAATATGATATTAATCACTACAGCACTTTTTCTAATTTGAAAGCTAGTATAGCTGAGAGAGTAATAAGAACACTCAAGTCATCATTGTGGAAAGAGTTTAGTCTTCAAGGATCCTACAAATGGTTAGAAATTCTTCCAAAAATTGTTAAAAAATATAACAACACCAGACATTCAACTACGGGAGCTATACCCAGTAAAGTCAATGATAAAAACGCCCAATATATAATCGCATATAATTATTTGAAAACAGTTGATCCACATAAACCTAAGTTTAAAAAAGGGGATCATGTTAGAATCAGTAAATACCGCCACGTTTTCACCAAAGGATATACACCCAGTTGGACCAATGAAATTTTTAAAATTAAGAAGGTTAAACTAACTAATCCAACAACTTACATATTAGAAGATGAGAAGAACGAAGAGATTCAAGGTGGATTCTATACTCAAGAATTGCAAAAAGTTAAATATCCCGATGTTTATTTGATAGAAAAAGTTGTTGCTAGAAAAGGAAACAAACTGCGAGTCAAGTTTCTTGGAATGGACAGTTCCCACAATGCGTGGATAAATAAAAATGATATAGTCTGATATGTATTTAATTTTTTTAATAAAAATATTTTCTTTTAGTTTTGTTTTTTTAATTGTATATTTACAATGCGTGGATAAATAAAAATGATATAGTCTGATATGTATTTAATTTTTTTAATAAAAATATTTTCTTTTAGTTTTGTTTTTTTAATTGTATATTTAAAGGTGGCCGTAAAGGCGTTTGATTTAAGCTCGCATCTCTAAGAGAAGGTGACTTAATTCCACCACTGCCAATTTTTAGAATTTGGTAGGTACTTTTTTATAGGTTTTAGGGATATAAAAATACGTTAGTAAAGTAAATCTGTTTATTAAAACATATAATGACTACAATTATTTCAATATTAATTACTAAAATGCTTAATATTTTCATAAATCTTATTTCTATGGTTTACATCTAAAATTGGATTAATAATTTTTGCTGTTTCTTCAATGCGATAAGTAAATCTCATTCTATCTAACATATTACATCTTCTAGCTTCTCTGTAAGCAAAATTCCAGGTAATCAGCCGGTGAAATACATTTTTATCTTCTCTAAAAGTTACCTTTTTCATAGTTGTAAATCTTCTTTTAATAGCTCTGGGTATTTATAAATTATTTCTAAACCTAGACTGTAGGTAATGGGATTCAAACTTTTTATTGATTCTACAATATTTAGAGCTGTATTCTTCACATCATCGGTATTCTTAACACCCACTTGCAATATTTTGAAGCAACTTGTGAATTGAAGACTTTTCAGTGATTCTATGGTATGACTTATTAATGGAAGTATTTTCCAAAGCTCTGTAATAGTAGTGGACCCCAGCCAGATTGTAGAATGGCCAGTCAAGATTTTTAAAACTCTAGAACTTTCAAACTTTTCAAATTCCAGCATAAAACTTCCAACGTCTATAGATTCAGGATCTTCTGCTGTCATCATAAATTTATCAATAACATCTTTATAAGAGAGAAATTCTTCCCATTCTTTTTCAATATATATAACTGAATGTCCTTTATTTCCAGATATTTCAATACATGGCATAAAATTGAATTCATATAATAAACTTATTGCAACATATTTCGAATTTGATTTATTTAAATAAAATCTTTTTTCACCCACCGATCTCTTGATAGGATTTAAGGAGTTAACTGATTCCATGTTCGCAGAGTACTGTCGGAGTCTAAGAGCTTCTCACTATTTATTGGCCGTTTTAGTGGTGGGGGAAATGTTTGATTTCTCCCAACTTTAGCATGTCTCCCCTCTACCAAAGAATGTATATGTATTTTAAAAATATTGCATCAGAATAAATTACACCATGTGTTTGCCAGTATATCATTATTATAATTTACATGCCACGTATGGACACCAGATGTTGTCATGTGTTCGCCAGATGGCCGGGTGCAGGTGTTCGCGTGAGAACCGGATGTCTTTATCTTTCCCAGAGATATTAAATTACATGCCAGATGGTCAACATGTGTTTGCCAGTATATCGTTATCATTATAATTTACATGCCACGTATGGACACCAGATGTTGCCATGTGTTCGCCAGATGGCCGGGTGCAGGTGTTCGCGTGAGAACCGGATGTCTTTATCTTTCCCAGAGATATTAAATTACATGCCAGATGGTCAACATGTGTTTGCCAGTATATCGTTATCATTATAATTTACATGCCACGTATGGACACCAGATGTTGCCATGTGTTCGCCAGATGGCCGGGTGCAGGTGTTCGCGTGAGAACAGGATGTCTTTATCTTTCCCATCAAATTACATATTATAACAGGATGCAGGTGTTTGCCAGTATATCGTTATCATTATAATTTACATGCCACGTATGGACACCAGATGTTGCCATGTGTTCGCCAGATGGTTTCCTCATTTTGCCTTCTCATAGGGTTTCCTCATTTTGCCTTCCCATAGGGTTTCCTCATTTTGCCTTCTCATAGGGTTTCCTCATTTTGCCTTCCCATAGGGTTTCCTCATTTTGCCTTCTCATAGGGTTTCCTCATTTTGCCTTCCCATAGGGTTTCCTCATTTTGCCTTCTCATTTCCACTCTACTAATTTTTAATAGAATTCGTAAATAAAAAGTATATATGTTAGTTTTAATAAAAGTATATGGATTTATAAAACAATTAATTTATTATTATTATATATTTTTCACGCTTAAATTGAAAAAAATTATGTATAATCATTAAAAATCAATAATAAAATATAGGCAGGCAACAGTATTTACTGGAAAATGTATGAGAAGTTGCCTAAGTCTAATAAGTTGTCATTGAAGAAACCATTTATAATAGCGTGAAGTTAAAATGTATAAAAAGGATCGCTACTTATATTTTCATTTTTGTTCTAAAGAAAACATAGAATGAATGATTAAAACTGGTTTCCGATCAGTAAGTCACAAAATTGCATACCAGCCAAATATTATAATCAACGGCAGAAATCTTGAAATCTAGTCCTTGCTGAATGAACATTTAAGAATAAAGGGATATTAAAGAACATCGTAAAATGATAATTTGTTTATTTAAAAACTTTCTAGTTTCTGATGTCTACTATTTCCAGCATTACTGTTATTATCACAAAAATAAAGGTAATTTTTCTTCTTATTGTACACCTATCCATTTAATTTCCACTTTGTTAGTGAAATTTGTTATATAAGTTTCACTGTTTTTTTTTTGCTAGTATTTGTACAATTTTCAACACAGCAACTCCGGTTACTTATTGTGTTGTTTTTACCTACTTTTTTGAAAAAAAGTAAAATGTATACGTGTATTTGATATGCCAAAATTACAAAATATCCCCCTAAAATGCACGAATTATCCGCAGCTAGCGCTAGTATCGCTTTTGCTTCCCTTTCCATGACTTCGCACGGAGCGAATAGCCTAAAAACTACATCATGAAAAGCGACTGAGCTTATAATCATAGAGAAATTTGGATAATGGTCGACAATAGTGCTTTTCGTCGTCTGATTTACATATGGGTGAACCTATATATCATTGGATCTTTCCTTTCTAGTACACGCCATCTTAATTTTATACATTTTGGGGGACACTTTTTGAGATAAACAACCGTATGAGATAGTCCTCCTATCCTCAACACTTCATAATTATATAGATGAGTTCTTGTTTCTTCCTATTATGAATTCCAAACACGGTGCCACGGTTTGGTATATCTAAAGGGCTGTTACATACAATGTAGTCTATTTACAATACGTGAAATCATAATTAATGGATTAAATTTAAATATATTATGTCGAATACAATGAAAATATTATTTAAAAAAAAACCGCTTATACATTTTCTATAAATTGGCAGGCTTGGCGACTACTATTTCAAATAATAATAGCCTCCAAGATGGAAGGCTATGTCGCAGCCCCTTTAGATTTACGAGCCCTTCCCACTGGCAGCTATTATTTGACAGGTCATTGAAATGCCTAATTCATTGTTCTATGGTATCTTGCAAAATAATAATATCTTTGAAAACATCAATGTGTTTGGAATTATTATTTAAGAACCAGTAAATAAAAATGACCATCAACCTTACCTGTTTGTAATTGGTGTATTTCATCCAGGCTTCTGATGACACAAGCTCTGGCTTTTACTATTCCGGTGCAAACAGGTGATCCCTTACATATTCCGACTAAAGAAGTTATTGGGGTACTAGAATCTTCTTCAGGTTTAGGAATTCCTTCCATAATTTCTGGAAATTGCAATTTCTGCCACACTGGGTACAATCTCTGTCTTCTGATGGCCCTAAAATATTGTTACATTTCCATTAGATTGTGCAATTATTTTCTTAATTTCTTCCAAAAATGTAACTCTGTATATTGTTTTACAGCTAAAATGTGGTAGATGTGTACCAATGCTTATCTTTCTTAAATAGATTTTCTAACTTTATTGTTTTAACAACAGATTTTACCTAATATTTGATATTAAATAGGGGTTTCCTGCGTTCAATATTATTCTAACACGGACTTATGACCTAATTATATTATAATAAATAATGTGCAATAGAGAATTCTTTTAAACTTTGTAAACATTCTTTGCTTGTTTTTATATCGATTACACAAGTGTTTTTTTAGAAAATTATTAATGAATATTTAGTTTGTTAACGATTCGAGGAAACATAACCTCATTTAATGGAATTTTATTAATCACAGTAACGATTCAAAGTGTGATTGAAAAATCACGACATCATCCAACTCTACTCTTTCTTTGAATTAATGTTGATGTTTCTATTTTTAAGTATTTACACGGTAACTATTTAAAAGTGCTTTATGAATACGAGTGTAAAAATATTTTTTTTTAGATGATTTACTCACTTTGTTATTAAACCAGGATTTCTTTTTTCTAGCAAATAACCAATTTCCTTATGAGTAAGGTGGTAGATTAAATCTTTAGAAGGTAAATATCCATTTCGTACCATTTGTTTCCCTAAAAATCTGTAAGCCTGTCTCAGTTTATCAAAAGCTCTTATCATTTCTGACTTAGTAAGTTCTCTGGCACCAACTGCTGTTCCCATTTTTTTCACCATAAATTTTATAATAGTCCTGCAAAATTATTTGAAATGGCAATAGGCCGAAACTGAAAAAATATATTTCTAATGGTACAAACCTTGTCAAATTTTTTTTGGGCGATTTTAAATTTTTAATAATTTCATCCACACTTAATGTTTCTTTTTTCTTTCTTTCGCTCTTTAGGTTAGCCTGTATCATGGTTATTATTATAGATGGATTTTCCCTCCACGATTCTTCCATTACTTCCATCTATAAAAAAATAAAATACACAATATAGTAAAGTAAAAAAAAAATTGATGGAAAAGTTAAAATTGTCCCAGGAAGGATTCGAACCTTCCAAATTGGCATGCACGCTCTCTTACCAACTCGGCCATCAGGATATTAGATGTTCAGCGTAAAATTGAGTTAAAGACATATTAACAAAAGTTCATCTATGATAGACATTTTCATTTGTTGATAATCAATTAATTTTTTGATACATTTTTGAACTTGCAATTTTTTATATTTATACCGGCACACTTCATTACTAAATACCTCTCCTAAATTTCTGTGTCCATGTTTATTCAAGAATTCTATTAGCAACTCGTACGCCTTATGACAGTTGTTATTTAACCAGTTTGCTCCCTCACTTGGTTCAATTTGCGAAAAAATTTCCGTAAATTCAGCTTCTTTTATAATTTTTGCAATTCCTTCAAGGTATTTTGGTACTTCTGCGGAAATTACGTCATTACATGAAGAAAGAATTGATGCAATATCTGATATGTGTTCTGTTGTCAATTCTAAAACTATTTTGGTTTACTAATACATTACATATTTATTTTATCGTGTAAAGTCAGCAATACTTTTTTCTTACATACCTGTTTTTCCTTCTAGCATAATATTTATAGCTATAATTTGATAAAAGACGGAGATAGCAGTAGTTTTTGAATGAAAATGAGCTACTTCGGATATACCTTCAAAATTCCCTTCGATTTTATTATAATTGACTAAGACGGGATCATTTTCAGACAAATCAAAATTTAAGCTATCCACAATTTTTTTAGATTCTCCAGCAATATTTTTCCAAGCGTTTTTCATGACTCGTATTAGTTCTGTTCCATGAGCTAAAGATGGTGAAAGACCCATTCTGTTTTTTGTCATTTCATGAATACTTTCGTTTAGTACAGGGTGACCAAAAACAGCTAGATCCACAATTAAGGAAGTAATGTGAATTTTTGCATGAACAGTTTTATATAGAGACTAAAAACAAAAAAAATATATTTAATGTAACTAAAAGCTATTAATTATAATAAAAAACATGCCCTACATTTATAATGAAATCATCAGTCAATATTTTCATCACTAAACACTTACCATAATAACATCTAGCAAGATGTTATGTTGATGAGTAATCATTCCTTTGAGCGACAGAGGGTCAAAATTCTGTTGAACAAATTTCTGCAATGCCCAATCTAGGCATGTTAGCGTACTGGTTTGTGATAATACTGTAACTCCTTTTGGAATGACTTCCTTTACATTGGCAGTTGTATAAATACCATTTTTTGTCCTTAAAGGAGTATCCATTTCATGGCTTAACTCAAAATCAGTCCAAACGTTTAATGTGGTAATGGCACGAGATTGGAGCAAATATAATTTTTCCTGAAAAATAATAATTGTAACGTTTATCAAGAAAACATTCACAGTAATTCTATTAGATAGTAAATACTCTACCTTATAAAAAGCCCACTCAATATATCTGGGATTACCAAACGCTTCTTCTAAAAATAAACCTACTTTTCCAATTTGCACCGCCTGATTTTCGGAAATACTCCAGTTTTGGGCATTTTGCTCCTTAATTATTTGTTCTAAACCGCTAGAGGTCACTTTTAGTACTTTATTTTTTGATCCTAGGATTTTATCTATCAAACAAATTTTTCCGTCCCATGTCCTATTGAGAATGAAGGTGTCAGGATCACTATCGCCAGAGACTACGGTCTGCAATAGTTAAAAAATTATCTAGATTTAACATTTGACGAATTTTTAATCCCATAAAAAAATAATTTATTTATTAGTTTGTATAAAAAAAATCAAAGTTAGGGGTTATTTCTTGGAGATGATTTTACAGGTGCTTGATTTGAGCGTATAAAAATATATATATATTACCTCTCCTAAACCGAAATTTGAAGTAATGACCATTTGAGATGGATTTAAAGTAGAAGGATGATTCGTAAATAAGACTCCAGCCGAATCTGACTTAACCATTTTTTGCACTACCACTGCCATATCAGTAACCACGTGGAGCCCATGTTGCCTAAAAAACAAATTTAGAAAGACATTCTATGTTGGAAGCTTTGTTTATTTTTCATACCATCTATACTGCACACTTTGATAGGTATATAAAGACGCCCAACAAGCGCTGACAGCTTCCAAAATTTCGTTTTCTGTTTGACATCCTAAAAAAGTATCATTTTGACCAGCTGCTGATAACTCGTCAGAATCTTCACCAATTGCGGAGGATCTTACAGCCCATCCCAAAAATTCATCTCCTTCGGCATACTTTTTTAGCTGATTAATAATATTTTCTTGCACTTTCGAGTCAATTTGGACATTTTTAAAACTCATAGTAACTCTAGAAATAAACAAAATTATTAACATGTGTTTTTTTAAATAAGTTATTTAGTTTTATTACTCTTTACAAGACTCTTCTAAGTTGCCTTCTATTTTACCACAACATATATCATTTAATCTAGAAATGGAATTTCTCAAATTTCCATTGTTTGCTAGCTGGTGCCTATATGCTTGAACAGTGATTATGAATCCATCTGGTATGATAAACTAAAACATTAAATGCATAAGCCAGATATAAGCATAGATTACTTGCCTTCTATACTTACAGAATCAGAATTTAAAGATGATAGAAGTCCTAATGAATTCCCTTTTCCACCTGTAAGATCTAATATATGAGATTCTTCATCTTGTATATCTGTTACAAAGTTTAGTGGCAATTCTTTTACAACTTTTTCTTTTAATTTTTTTGTAGGAATATATATTTCTTTACCTACAAATAGAAATAAACAATTTGCAATCTTTTTTTTTATAAATTGCTGAAAATAAAACCTAAGTATAGGGTAATTTGTTAATGAGAAACTAAAATGGTTGAGTATTGGGGTGATAACGGAAAATCTGTTTGAGAGGAGCGTTGTATAGTCCAAAGAAATATAAATTTGATTGGTTATTGCAAGATAGTATTCTGTAATGTTTGTGAATCTGACTATATCACATACCTGTAAGCAGTGGCGGTTCTTGACCAAAATATTGGGGATTCACAATGACAGAATAAAGATCTCAGTACATATTTAGAAACAAAATTCAGTTTTATAATATACCTCTCCAATACAACTGAAAATTTATTAACTAAATCTATGCTGAGGTTTATGTCATTGTGAACCCCAATATTTTGTTAACAAGCCCCTACTGCCTGTAAGATAAAATCGAAGTATGTGGACTATATCTATAAATTTGGAAAGAAAATAAAGGGTGTTTTTATTATGTAATTAAATCATTCTAGCGTCTCCGTCATCGTCATAATATTAAAAGACCAAACCGTCTGTATTAAATTCAAATTAATTTACATTTTTAAACTCGCGGTTTAGGAGAAATTTTAGTTTCTTTTTCAAAACTATATAAGCGTTATACTACCGTCCTAAGCTCAATGTTTTCCATATTTTAGATTTTACTTGCTAAGACCTAGCTGCAGTGGCGTAGCGTATTTGCATGGAAGTAAAATAGAGTAGCCCAGCTAGCACATAACGTTGCCAAGCCTTTCGGCGATGTTGCATTAAGGGAACGTAATAACATTACTGTACAACGTAAATGCAACGTTCATGAGAAGTTGTTGAGGGGAATCAAAACCTCGCAAAACTTCTATTTGTTATTTACCTAGTTAACCTACCGTAAACATTACAAATCTGAATTCAGAACGTTTAGTTTTGTCAATTGTCACTTGTCAGTTTTTCTTGTCAATTGTCTTTTTTAATGGTTTATTTTTCGACATCCAGAATTTATTTTATAAATAATTATTATTTATACATTCGAATAGATTTGGTAAGGGTCCTCTATAAAATAGATAAATATTTTCTAAACCATTGTCTTTGTTTCAGATTACAATGCCTGATGTAAATTTATTATTTCATTCATTAAGTATCTTTAGCAGTCGATGCCGATGACACCAAATAAAAAAAAACTACAATAAATACAAAGAATTGCAGATTAATCGTTGTAAACCAGAAGATAAACATTTAACCGAATGTCCGGCAACATTTTACACCAAATACTTATAAAAGGTAATTATACTTTATCGAACTAAAAATACATTTTAAAAATATTATTTTTTAGGTTTCCTTCGACATTCTAGGAATTTTAGAAGCAAAAGTAAATACTACAGAAGTGTAAAGAAGAATATAACACCTGAAGTTTTATAAAAAGTGAATCTATAGGTACATGATATGTCAGGTATATCATTATTTTGTTTTTGACATACTCTTTATATTTTATTTAAAAGCTTCGATATTTTGCTGTTAAATAAAATGATTACGATTATAAAAGTGAGTTGTTGCATAGTTGTAAAAAATTTGGGCGTTTTTGAAGAAAATAACTCGAATTGAGGCAGTTTTAGACACAGTTTGTGGCTACATTTTAAATGATTTATCTTTAAGGATATTTTTGTTTGTGGTGGTATTTAAAGTAAAACCGTAATGATATTTTGCATCCATTGAACCAAAAATGTAATTGCTTTGTTTTTTGACTTGTGGCGTTTTTTGATTGAGCCATCGATATATCTACTTTGGAAATCAAGCATAAAATTTGTAAAATTCAAACAAATTTCAATACACTAACATTGGTTGTTTTATTTAAAACAACAAAGTAAGGCATATTTTTTAATTTCTATATAATTTCCTTTAATTAATAATAGGTAAACAAGTTATCAATTTCTTTTTTATTCAATGTATTGAGAAGTAAAATCTTTTTATATAAAAATATAATTTATTCTCTTCCAATAAATTGTCATATTTAGGTTACATTATAGCACTTTATAAATATCTATGCAAAAAAAGTTAAAAGGCTTGATTTAAAAAAGATATATCTCTGCGTCTTAGGTAAGAAATCAGCGAACTTAGCTATCCTCTAGTAATCTAATATAATAATATGTACCTAGTCATTGTTGTATTCGTTTATTATTTTTCACCAATCTAGCTTTATCATCGTTCACCATTTAAGGTTTTAGTGAACCTTTGCAATATTGGTACCTTATTATACTATTTAGCTAATTTTGTCCAATCGTTCAGTGCTTTCTAGGTAGCTTCTTCTATCCCACATGTGTACTTGTGTTTGTGATATAAGGTGTGTTCTTTTATTCAGTAATTGTTCTATCAGTGATTGATGTAATTTATCTATTCTGCAGTCGTTTTATATTTGAACTCTTATATTTTAGGTTAACTTAAATGATTGATTATCCTCACCATTCGTCTATCACATATCCATCGGCTTTTAAAGCCGATGGATGCCTTGGCTCATTGATGAACTCACCGCTGGAAAAAAGAATGATTGACACATACAATCGTCTTTCCATCACTTAATTTACGAACGGTTTGCTGCAAGCGCTGGATACAGCACTGAATAAAAGAACACGCCTACACCTACCTCTACTTTTGTGCTATTGGTACTTGATTTCAAGAACATTTTAATAATAAATTTATATAAATATTTTGTTTTATTTGAAATTTTCATGTCTCAATTGAGATTTTACTATATCCTCAATTTCAGCCTCTCTGTATTACATTACACAATGTGTGTCCATGGATGGACTTAATTATACTTGTAAAAATATTTATTTTAAATTAAAGAAAAAGTTATTTTTCATAATTTCTCAATGTGAATCGAATTTATTTAACAAGCAAGAAATTATGAAGAATTACTTTTTTAATTTAAAATAAATATTTTCACAAGTATAGTTAAGCCCATCCGTGGACACACTGTATAATGCTGTAGATCTAATTCACATTATAACATCAATAGAACGTTTCAGAGCAACTTTCGGGGTAAGTACCGTAAAAGTGCTAGTGTGATGTTTTCCGAACTTCACTTTATAACTTCTACGAGATGTGCTATAAAAGTCTTGCAGTTGCGGACATTCGGTAGTTGCAGGGATAATAGGGTTACATTTACAGTACATTGCATGCGAGCTTAAAGAGCCTAAAATTGCAGCTTATTAACGTAGATGGTATGTTTTTGTGCTAGCTGGGGAAGACGCAATCACGTGGTCAAAAGTGCCAGCCACCACGTCGGCCGTATTGATACTAGATGTAGGGTATATAGTATGTCGTTAGTTAGCATGTAAGATTAGATGTAATGAAGTTGATGACATTGAAGTTAATAAAATAAATATTTTGAGTTGTCAAACACTTAGTTGTATATAAAAGGCTCTTAAGTTTGCTATAATTGGTGACCCCGTAGAAAAACTATGGTTAAACTAATCAAGAGTCTGACTAAGGAAGAAATCGGCAAACTCTTACATCATTTTGATCTCAGTTGTACCGGCTCTGTGGCCGACATGGAGGTGATGCTTCAAGGAGAGATTCTAAGAAGGTATAAAAGCTTACCAAACGTTAACGATTTTGATTTTACTGGTGTTCTTTCTGAAATACTTGCAAAGGAAACTAATAATGAACATATCGTTGAATCGGAAACAGACTTACTAGCCAATTTAGAACTGAAAGTAAAAAATTTGGAATCTATATGCATGTTGCTAATAGAAAAAGTAGATGAAAATAATGAAAGGTTAGAAAAACTAAACTTATTGTTAAATGAGAAACCGAGTAGTTTAAACCCAGATCCACCTGCAGCTATTAACACACTAGACTATGAGAATAATTCTGAAGGTGAACAGCTCCAAGCAAAATCTTTCTCAATTCCTACATTCTGGAAAAACGAACCTGAGTTATGGTTTAGTGTCGTCGAGTCAATTTTTGAACTAAATGGAATAAAGTCCGATAAAATGATGTTCACTAAAGTATTATCGGTTTTAGACTGTGGCATCGCTAAGGAAAATTCCAACCTATTTCAGAATGAGAAGAACCTATCATATATGTCTTTAAAATCGCAGCCTATCAAAATGTATCAAGTGTCGGAAGAAGAAAAACTAAGAAAACTTTTTTTCAGAATGCGAATTAGGAGACAAGAAGCCTAGTCAGTTGTACCGAGAAATGACCAGTTTAGCCTCCGGCCAAATGTCAAAAAAATTTATTACACTTTCTTGGTTGAAGAAACTACCAACAACTATAGAACAACTAGTTAGAGCATTCCAAACAAAACTGTCAGAAGAAGATTTGGTCAATATGGCGGATGAGATGTTTAAAAGTAATGAAAATAATTCCCAAATTTAATCTGTTAAACATATAAGCCGGCATTCTTCAGTTGATGATAGGATGGATATGATATTGAAAAAACTAGAAGAAGTACTTGGTAAAGAAAAGCACCAGTCTAGATCACCTCGTAGATATCATTCAAAATCAAGAAATCATTGTTATTTTCATCGAAGATTTAAAGATAAAGCCTTCAAATGTATCAAGCCCTGTACATTTGACGAAAATACGTCGGAAAACTCAACCGCCAGTCGTTAGCGGCGGCTAACGACAAAGGCATATCAAGTAACTGCCGCCGTCTATTTATTTTTGACCCGACCACCAGACATACTTTTTTAATAGATACAGGAGCCGCTGTTTCAATAGTGCCAAAATTACAGGGCAATTGCAATGAATCAATAAAAACCTTATATGCAGCAAACGGGACCAAAATAAAAACCTACGGAGATGTAATTTTAAATATTTCTTTAGGTTTAAAACGAGAATTTAAATGGCAGTTTATCATTGCTCAATGTGAAAACCCAATCTTGGGAGCTGATTTTCTCCAAAATTTTGGTATTGTAGTTGATCTTAAAAATAAGAGAATCACTGATATGGTAACTAATTTAAGCAGTGCTGGCAATCTACGCCAAGTAAT